GAGGTCATAGGTAATGACCCCAAGATCTCGTTTTTCCCTTTTCTCTGGTTTTGGTTTCTTCTGCTTGGGAGGGAGAAGACACAGGCCTAGATATTAACCATCCCACGAGGGCACTAGCCCTCCTTTCAGCTCCATCCTAGCCACTCACCTCCCCCAGAGGTAGCTGCTGTTGTTGGAGCTTCTGTTTCTGTTGGAATTTCTCTAGCTTCTCCCGTTTCTTTGCCTCTTTCTTGAGCTGAGTAGCTGTCTTTGGGGGTACAGAGACCTCAGAGCCTGAAGAGAGGCACAGAAAATCAGATTCAGCCTTCTGGGGACCCTCTGTGAATGGTGCTACTATGTTTCACAGATGGGCTATTTCAGCTGCCCAAGGGCTCACCCAGGCTGACCTCCCACCTTACCCTTCCCTCCCACAGGCTCCTGCCCTAGTGATTCTGCCATTTCTAAGAGAAAAACAAAGTGAGTTTCATCAAAGACCCCAGAAGAGCCCCTATATTCCCACTCCTCACTATTCCTAACCTGGCTGTTGAGAGAGAGACCTGGCCCCAGAGAACAGAACCACTTCTCCCAGGACGGCCCGGAACTCTGGCTGTCGGACACATGTGACAAACCAGCGAGTCACATTACCCCAGATCCGGCGGGCAGATGGGTCCAGGACCTGGAAGGGGAAAGAACTGATGATTCTTAGTTCCCCTACAGTGAGGTCTGAGGGGAGCACTCTTCTTCCCCAGGGCCCAGTGACTCACATATCGGAAAGGCAGCAGCAAGGCTGTGACAGCAGCCAGGTCAGCCAGGGTAGGGGCCTCCCCAGCTAGGTAGGTGTGCAGTCGAAGCCACTCTTCCAAGGGACTCAGAGCCTGGCCCAGGGCCCCCAGCACAGCCTAACAGGAAGGGAAGGGGTGTGAGAAAAGGCTGGGTCCACCTCAATCCCCATCTCCAACCCTACCCAATCCTTTTGGTCTCCTCTACTCCTAGTCACACAAATCACCCCCCCTGAGGCCAGTTTCTTTTTATTTTGAAAACAGAGTCTCACCAGTCACCCTGGGATTGAGTACCATGGTGTCATAGCTCACAGCAACCTCAAACTCTTGGGCTCAAGCGATTCTCTTGTCTTAGCCTCCCGAGTAGCTGGGACTACAGGTACCCGCCACAACACCCACCTATTTTTAGAGGCCAGGTCTTGCTCTACTCAGACTGGTCTCGAACCCATGAGCTCAGGCGATCCACCTGCCTTGGCCTACCAGAATGCTAGGATTACAGGCGTGAGCCACCATGCCCAGCCCTTAATGCCTATCTATGTTTTTTTAGAGATGGTCTCATTCTTGTTCAGGCTGGTCTCGAACTCCTGAGCTCAAGCAATCAGCCCACCTCAGCCTCCCAAAGTGCTGGGATTACAGGTCTGAGCCACCACACCTCGCCCTGAGGCCAGTTTCTTCTATACTCAATTGTCATAATAAAAAAAACTTCTGCGATATATAATCCTAGCACCACCTAGGATTGGTGCTACTCAATCCTAGCACCTAGAGGGTAGATTGCTTGAGCTCAGGAGTTCAAGACCAGTCTGGGCAAGAGTGAGACCATGTCTATACTGACAAAAAAAAAAACAAAAAAACCGTCTCTACTAAAAAGAGAAATTGGCCAGGCATGGTAGCACAGGCCTATAGTACCAGCTACTGGGGAGGCTGAAACAAGGCTCGAGACCAAGAGTTTGAGGTTGCTGTGAGTTATGACACTATAGTATTCTATCCAGGGCAACTGAGTGAGCCTGTCAAAAAAAAAAAAAAAAAAGAGGGAAGGGAAGGGAGGGGAAGGGAAAAAGGGAAGGAAAAAGGAAAGGAGAGGAGAGGAGAGGAGATGAAATGAAATGAAAAGACCATAGGAGGTTACATGGTGACTGCCAAGTCCAGGGTATCAGCAAGTATTTATTAAGCACAACATGAACAGCCCTGACCTGGAAGATTTTATATTCTACTGGGGAAACAATAAATGAGCAAATATACGATATATTGCCCTATTTTTCTTAACTCCTATGAAGAAAAATAAAGTAGGCTGAAAGGATTAGGGAATTCCAGGAGAGAAAGACTCTATTTCAGACAATATAATCAGGATGGGAGGAGCAAACCAGGGTTTATGTCACAAATTCATTCATTCATGAAATACTATATATCCACCATACTCTACATTCTGCAAAGCGGCAGAGCTGTAAATACCCTAAAGCACGACTCGGGAAGGATTTACAGTTAGAGTCTGGTGGTGCTATCTCTCCTTTCAATTCCTTTCCTCTTCATTTCATGTCTCCTTTATCTCCTTCCGGCAACTATCATCTCTTCCCACATCTACTCTTTTTTTCTCAACATTTTTGGACTCTCCAAAATTATACTCAGAGACTTTCTTTCTTTCCACAGGTACACTCACAGACTTTTAAAAGCCTGGCACTAGACCTTGTGCTCTGTACAAATCTTTTAATCTCATCAACTCGGTGAGGCAGGTATTACATCAACTTGTGTGTTTACAGAATAGGAAGACCAAGGCTCACAGAGTTTAAAACATGTATCCAAAGTTACCAAACCAGGTGGCAGTCTGGGACTTGATGACTCTTTCCCCACATCTGATGAGCTACCTTCTTTTCTCATTACCCATTCCAATCCTTGCTTCCTTCCTCTGAATTTCCCCTTCCCCCTACTCCTCCCCCCTCACCTGGGGGTCTTGGATGGAGCCTCGAAGTCCCAGGGCTGGCAGCGTTGCCCCACAGGCAGCTGGTATTAGCTCCGTGTCGGCGTAATTGACCCACTGTTGGACGAGGACAGCTGCCCGGCTCCCCGCAGGACCCCCCAAGCCTGCTGGCCACAGCAACTGGGCCACAGCTGTGGCCCCCCATACCCACAGCCCACCAGGGCCCTGCTCCAGGGCTGGCAGGCGGGGTGGGGGAAATGGAGTCCTGCTGGTCGGCGGTGGCTGGAGACAGATGCGGGGATGAGGTCCTCCCCACCCCGGACCCTCCCCAGCCTCCCCATAGCGAGCGGCTATGAGAGCTCGGAGGCTGGGGAAGGCATCTGGATGAGGGGAGACATAGAGGATGGACATAGTTATGAGGGGATCCGAACGAGATGAAAAACCTAAAGAGAAAGAGAGACGGGAAAGATTGAGGGACCCACAATGTCCTGGAGCCCTGGAGTAGACAGGGAACCCTCACGATGGCTCCTTCCCTGCAGGCGCCCAAGACCCCTAGGATTGAGGATCTGACTAAGCTATAGGAAGTGAGGACCTGGCTCTCAAGAGTGACACTGACAGTGGAGAGCTGCTGGGAAGAGAGGGCTGAGAGCTGCTCGCGATCGTAGGGCCTGGGGGAGTGTGGAAGGCTCGCGGGAGCGTTCCAGCCGCGTGTACGTACTGGAGGGAGAGGGTCAGAAAGGGCCGGGAATCCACCTCAAAGCCAGGCGCCGGCCGCCGGCTGAACCGGCCGGACGCCCGGGACGGAGTCGGGCGGGTGGCGCCGATGGGCGGCTCTCTGGTTGACCCTAGTTTCCTGAGCCAGCCACCTGGGAAGTCGGCGTCCACGTGTTCCCCCCCTTTGTGACAAGGAGCACTTCCGGGCCCGCGGGTCCTAGCGGGGGCGGCCGCGCCCGGCCTGCCTGTGCGTATGCTGCCCAGCCCCATTCCGGGCCTGTGGCCTAGCTGCTCGCCACTCGCCGCGCCCACGGAGAACGGGGCGGGCGTGGGCGTGAGCGCGGGGCGGGAGTACACCCCAGAGACTGCGGTCCCGTCAGGCGCCGCCTAGGGCACCTCTCACGGGTCCTCGGGCCGGTCGGCCAGAGCGGCGCCCAGCGGGCAGCCAGGGAACAGGCGTCTGAGGGTCCAGCGGGTGGCGGGAGACCGGGTGCGAGGACCAAAGGAGAGGTGCATTTGCCAAAGCCCTGGGCGTCCGGCTTCCTCCCTGAACCTCATAGCTTTATGTACCAGAAGAGAGATGAGGCTGCGCCGTAGCTCATCCTTGTAAGCCTAGCTTTCTGGGAGGCCGAGACAAGAGGATCCCTTTGAGTTTACCAGTTGGAGACAAGCAAGAGCTAGCTACTAGCCGGGTGCCTTAAGTCCTAGATACTCGGTAAAATGTGGCAAGAGGATCAGTTGAGGCTCGGCGCCTGTGGCTCAAGCGGCTAAAGCGCCAGCCACATACACCTGAGCTGGCGGGTTTGAATCCAGCCTGGACCAGCCAAACGACACGGCTGCAACCAAAAAATAGCCGGGCGTTGTGGCGGGCGCCTGTAGTCCCAGCTACGTGGGAAGCGAATCGCTTTAAGCCCAGGAGTTGGAGGTTGCTGTGAGCTGTGATGCCACAGCACTCCACCCAGGGAGACAGCTCTCTCTCAAAAAAAAAAAAAAAAGGATCGCTTGAATCCAGGAGTTTGAAGTTGTTGTGAGTTATGACACCAGGGTACTCTAGCCTGGGCAACAGAGTAAGACCCTGCCTTAGAAAAGGGGGTGTGTGTGTGCAAGGAGATGACCTGTAAAGTCCCTTAAGGCTGATAATTCTTATCTGTTTCGGAACTCGTATTTGCTGGATTAGTGATTGAAATTTAGTAATCCTCGTATAACTTCTCTCCACAATACAAATTATGGCTCTTATTTTTATCGATCTTACATATTCAGAAAAAGTATACTGATTTGGCTAGACAAAACCCAGCAGCATCAAATCCATTTTGGTGTCTCATAACATTGTCACACTGAGAGAAGAACACAGAGATGGAAGGGCAGGAAGCACTCTAGTTGTTGTAGGTACAGTATAAGCAAAAGGCCAGAGGGACAACGTGTAGGTAGCATAATGTTCAGGAAGCATGGTGTAGTCCAACTGTATTATATGCTGTATACCAAGAAAAGGTGTGGCAGATAATACTAGGAAGATGGGTTGGATTCTTGGCTGTAGGAATGGAAAATAACAGGGCTGGGATGAATTCCACATCTGTTCCCACCCCCCAGCCCATAACACAAACAGTAGACCCCCAAACTCAAATATGCATCATCAATTTTATTCCCGATGCGGGACAGATTCTTTCCATCCCCCACATTAATCACATGCTGTCCTGGAAAGACCTAGGAAAGTCTCCCAGCATCTCCAGGAAAGGAGTGGGGAGGGCAGATGCTAGAGACTGAAAGGCTTTGCAGTTCCCCAGCCTACTTATCCTCCCCTTCTCAATAGAGGATAGCTGTTCCCCACTATTACTCCCCCCATCCCTTAACAAACAAAACGCCTCAAGTATTGAGGAAGAAGGGTCCAGGGCTGCGACTTGAGATTCTGGGCCACCAATATGGGAGGGAGGGGAAATGGGAGGAGCCATCACTGTTTCTGCTGCAGGGCTTCCTTTCTTGCTGCATCCTGTAGTAACTGTGTGTCCACCTCATCTGCCGGCAACTGCACATAGCGGACTACTGAGCCCCGTATGAAGCAGTTCTTCACTGATAACTAGACAAAGACAGACAAATGTGAAAACACCCTTTACAAAAAAAAAAGTCCTCTAACCACCTGGGGGCTCCTGGAAGTGCTTTGAAAGTGTTTCCTCTTTCCCACTGTTCTCAACTTACCATGTGAGGATATTTCTCAGGGTCTGTAACACTGATGTCAGTTAGTTTGATGTTGAGATACTACAAAAGGAAAATGACTATCATCATTAACTCTAGAAACACAGCAAGTACCCAGCCCTTAAGGTCTCCCCTCTCCAATAACCAGTTTTAGACTTTCGCTAATATCTCACCTGATCCACGGAGTGGAGGGTTCCACAGATGCTGTCAAAGGCAGAGGAAAAGAACAAATTAGTTTATACCAAAGTCAACATAAAGATGACTCCAGAGCTAGGATAAGAATATAGTTGAGGGGGTGGTGCCTGTGGCTCAAAGGAGTAAGGCGCTGGCCCCATATGCCAGAGGTGGTGGGTTCAAACCTGGCCCCAGCCAAAAAA